TATGCACAGGATATTATAATCCAAAACCTTTATAATGATTTTCTATTATTGACCGCGTTTTGATTTTTCAGACACACACATATTATTGGTCCTTGTTTCGTTCTTACCGGGTAAGATTATTGATCTTTATCATATTCATCCAGTGAGATAACGTGAATTGGTAAGTGCTTACCCGAATAAGCGTTTAGTAAACGGTCCTTAAATGATACATGGAAATGAAGATTCCTTTTCTTAAACTTAATGGTTAAGAATTTAAGTCTTGTAAAGACATTGTTTGGCTGTTTAGAAATTTAGTGTTCACATTATATTATGTACAAATTAACCAAACGTTGCATTTATTATTTGGAAATAAATTAATTTTAAAGGTTCACATATTTAAAATAGACATAATATTTATTTTTTAACAATGATATCGCATTTTTTTCTTCATCAAACTGGTTTTATGTAAAACGTTGATTTCATATGATACAAACTCTTGATTTCATATAACATGGACTCGAACTGATAATCATACCCAATACAAAATATAGCAAGAACCAATAATTTTAACCGATAAGTGAGAGGAAGACTTTTATCCGGTCAACGCTTACTACCAATCCATTTTGATGGTCGAGATCCTAGAATATTATCTTACAAGGTAAGTGAGGGCGATGATTTTTGCCATTAAACGTTTGATAAATGATCCGCATTTTGTTTTTTGTTCTTGTTATCAGATCTGTGATTTTTCTTATAATCGTAAGCGTTTGAATTAACTTATGCACATCTCGACTAATTTTATAGACATTATAATTAACAACCAGATAAATCTGTGATGATATTGAAATTTCTTGAACTGATAACTCTTTAAAAAAGCAAATTTAATATCTTACTAGTTGAGTTATGTTTTTTAATGTTTAATAAAAAATGCAATTAATTATTGTTTTTTATTTGAAGAAAATGGTTAATTATTGTTAATGTCACTATAACAACGGGGCATTCAGATGGTTCATCTAATCCGCTAGGCTCCAAGCCCGTCGACTTCCACGGCTTTGGCTCCTGGTTGTCTTCTCATTTTCATGTTGTTGAAGTAGAACGGCGCCGTGACGCTCCCCCATTGCGGCTAAATATTCTCATATTTGGCGTCTTTAACATATTTTATTCAGCATTTTTTTCTAAAAGCTCAGTTAATTTATGAGATATAATAACTTTACTTTTTGATTTTTCTTTTTTCTATATTATTTTATAAAACATTTGGCTAAAACTTTTAAAAACTCTTAAAACTTTTAAAAACTCTTAAATCAATTCATCCCTAAACGATTTCATCCCTATCCCATATCTGAATTCGTGTAACTAACTGCAGATAAATACAATCAAATACATGATAAATATTTCATTTTAAATATACAAAATCTAAAATATAATTAAGATAATTATTAGTTCTAACAAAATACTTAATTATTATCTTTATAAAAT